ACCTTAGGTGTATGTGGCTGGTGCCTTAGCCGCTTGAGCCACAGGCCCTGAGCCAGTAGCAACATTTATAAGGGTAAAAAAAAAAAAAAATAGAGCATACCAAGTATCTCTCACAGATCCCTGGTGAAGTACAGCATACCCACATGATAGAATATTACATTGCCATTAAAAGTATCATATTGAAGATACTTTTGAATATGATGGGTTTGGTTGTAGGCATGGCACTTGTCCTTAAATGTAAACTCCCATTCAGTCACAAGATATACGATTAGTTTATGTACCGTTAAGAAAGGGAAGGGTGCTGCCAATTATAATTGAAGGATGCCACCAATTATAAGACACATCCAGATTTCAGGGATGTTACAATGGGAATATCTTAGAATTTTCATCTTAGATTCAGCAAAATATGGCAGGTCTGTGAGGCTGTTAGGCTCATTCATCTAGATGAGAGCGGCCTTCTTCAGTAAAGTCAGGAAGGCACCAGAAAGCCGGAAATTTCGTGACCAGGCATTGAGGCAAGCAAAGGCCATCACCTTGTTACCTAGATGGTTTTTAAACCATGGATCTTATTCTGCCAGGTTCTCCTTGTCTGAGAGAATAACATTGCCCTTGTAAGATTATTTTGAGAATTAATTTTAAAGTAATGACTGCAAAGCCCATGTGAGCCCTAGAAGAAGGGAGGGGGACAGCGGCTACAGGGCTGGGGAAACAGTGCCTTGGGTGAACCTGCCAGTGGCAGGCAGAATGCTGAGGGGATATGGAGGCATCCCCAGGGCCACTTGTCTCTTAGTTGTTTTTCTGGCTGTAAAGGTAGCACTGTCCTTGGTTAAAAATGTTTAAAGTAAAGAGGACTCGACATGAGAAAATACTCATAATCCCTTTGTCTGGGGTGGAGATATATTAGCATGTTTCCACCTAGGTTCGAGGGTTTGAGGTTTGTTTTTGTGTTATTCCGTTTGGGGGGTTGGTTTTTTGCTTTCTTTTAGGCAGTTGAAATATTCCTGGCAAAGCAACTCGGTTTCCAGTTATTGATTTGTTTGGGCCTTTTAGTATGTGTAAGCATTTTTCATATCACATAAAAACTCTCTTTAGACATCATTTATAAAGGCCACATATATCCCATCAGGGAGTCCCAAGAGTTTTTAGCTGTGATTGTGGATCAGAATCACCTGTGGGGCTTTTAAAACAGCAACTATGTGAGCCCCAGTCACAGATTTTTATCAAGTTTCCTCAATCTGAAGTCGGTGCTGAGTTCTGCCACGTTATCCTCATGCTGGTCTTTTTTGATTGTCACTAACATTCATGGTTTGGGTTTGGGTTTTAGTTTTGCTTTGTTTTTTTTCTTTTTCTTTCTTTCTTTCTTTTTTTTTTTTTGAGACGTGGTCTCGCTCTGTTGCTTGGGCTGGAGGGCAGTGCATTGTTATAGCTCACTGCAGCCTCAAACATCTGGGCTCAAAGGATCAAAGCTCAGCCTTCCGAGTAGCTGGGACTAAGGTGCACCACCAAGCCTTGCTAATTTTTCTATTTTTTGTAGAGACAGAGTATTGCTATTGCCCAGCCTGGTCTTGAACTCCTGAGCTCAAATGATCCTCCTGCCTCATCCTCCTAGAGCACTAGGATTACAGGCGTTAGCCATTGTGTCCAGCCCATTTCACAATTTTAAACCACACTGTGCTAAACATCTCTATATAAATCTTTGTGCATGGTCTGAATTACTTTCTTAGGCAGATTTCCTTACATGGATTTACTGAGTCAAAGGATCCATGAACACTTAGGCCTTTGATACATAAGGTGAAGGAGGGAGCTTGTGGCCAGAAACAGGTGGAAGTCTATAGAGGGGAGCCCCTGAGACAGATGGCAGGGCAGGGCCTATGGACAGCAGGAGACTGGGAGTGAGGAGAGCCTTCAGGTTACAGGGGGGTGCTCCAGGCTCGAACAGGTTACTTCACCTCCCTCTTCCTCAGCTCTTCAATAAAATGCGTCTGTAATCCCCTCCATGCAGGATTATAGAGAAGCTTACATAAGCCCAGCACAGTGCCTGCCCTGTCAGCCC